AAAGTTAGCCTTCTTTCTTTGCTTGAACATTTGGGCGGCGTTATGCAAATCTTCACACATAGTGAGGTAGACATGTGGGGTGTGTTAGAACGAGGCGTTTTAGGTAGGTTTTGTCTTAACTTTTATAAAGAATATCTCTTTGGATTTGAGACTTTAGTCTTTGCAACTTTACAGATCTTCTTTATGCACCAACAGCTTGTAACACTCCAAAGAGAAAGGAAAACTTGAAATCGCATCATATGACCCCTTTAATGTTTTATGCCTTCATTTGATAACCAGAGAAAATGAAATACACAACACAGAATTTCTGAGAAAGAAAAAAATCATAAGGCTATTGTTAGAATAAATAAAAGTTGTTTTATGCATTCAAATAATTAGACATGCTAAAACACAGAATTGGTAACAATAAAACATAAGGTGAGTAAAAATAAAACATTTCATAGGGCCCTAAACATGTAATTTTTGTTAAACTTTTAATAAGTTGTTGTTAAATTGTATAAGTTTTATGATTTTAATTAAATAGACATGCTTTTTGATTAATGACATTTAATTTAACTATGAGTCCAGAAAAATTAAAACAGAAAAGAACGGAATTTGGGAAAAAATTAAATGGATTTCATAGGGCCCTATACTTATTCAAAAACACAGTACATGTATTTTTTGTGTTATATTCTTCTAGTCAGACCATTTTCATGAAATTTATTTTATGCCCCCCAAAAATATCCATATGAAGTTTAATCCAGAAATTTAACATGCTCATCACAAGGTGTGTTAAAGTCATTGTATTTATGAATTGCATACATACAATGCATAATATCAATGTCGGCAAAAACTAATATGAACACACTCCACTCCTTTATTTAAATTGGAGCTTGTAACACTCCAAAGAGAAAGAAAAACTTGAAATCGCATCATATGACCCCTTTAACAATTGAAACGATAGAATATTGTATTCAAGTGTTTCTCAATAAAATAAACATCGCTTCAAGCTTTTCCAAGTAGTTTTTTACTTTTCCAAGTAAAAAAAAAACCGTAACAAAGAAATAAATTATGAAAAGTGAGTAGTTTTTATTTTTTATTGTCCTGAATTTATAAAAATGACCCGTTTCTGCCAGTCTGTTAGGCTGCATTTACTGTAAAGTACAGAGTTACTCCCATTCCATGTCCCTTTCTTCTGTGAAAGTAACCGGATTTACTTTTTTAGCTCGCTCGACATGGCAGAAGTTGAAAGATTGGATATATATTTGCCATCTCATGTCAACGCGTGTTATGTTTAAGCGTCTAACATTAAGTATTCGTTTAAGGTGATGCAGTTTTGAGTACAGTAAGCTTCCCAGTCCTGCCTCTTAACAGATTCTTCATAAGTAGCATTGTAAACAAGATAGTGGGGTGGTATTTATAGATGCTTACATAATCACATTCCCCGTTTACTTACTGCTACACCACACCTCATCCGAGGGCTCTGTGTGTGTGTGTGTGTGTGTGTGTGTGTGTTGCTGCAAGGGCACAGGCGTGGTTTGTTGTTTTTGAAGTAATTGCCTTTTTCCGTGTGTTTATCTGAACACAGACCGAATCTGACTCTGTAGGGATCAGAGTGCGTGTGGATCTGTGTACTGTATGTGTGCATATACTGTTTCATGTAGCATTTGATTTAATCAGCTTTTGGCAGTAGGTTGAACAGCTTGTGTCATGATAGGTTTATATGAAGCTCTGTAAAAGATATTAGTGGCCCACAAAACTGCAACTACAAAAACATCTGTAGTGCGTGCTTAACACAAAAAAAAGGCTATTAGGAAAGACAGGTGACCAAGTTCATAAAATTCTTTCACAGTATGCACACATTGGCTATTCATGGACCATCAGACCAGCCCAAAATCAAAAGTCTGGATACATGAGACTTTTATTTGGTTTGTGCCAAAACTAGCTATTTGTTTTCAGACAATAAAGTTCATTGTTACTCTCACTAGGTCTTCGACAGTTTCAGGTTTCTAGGCTTCAAGCAGTTTTCCCAAAGAGGCCTAAGTCTGTGCAGATGTCTGGACAGAGCTCTTGTCCCTTTGCTCAGTTGGGTCGCAAGGCCCGATGTCTGAGATTATGACACTTTTTTTTCTTTATTTTTTTTTGTTAAACCTCATAGCACTTCCTCCCAACTCACTGCTGCGTAATCCGAAGACCAAGCTTTTGCTGTGTCAGCATAACTTTATGTTGTACAGTTTGGAAAGTAGGCCTGGGCGATAAAATGGTATTGATATTTATTGACGGTACACCTTCTTCGATAACGATATAAAAAATGTTCGATATAGTGCATGATATAGGCACGTGCTCTGAGTGACGCAGACAGCACACACAAACACGAACATGAGTGCTGTGCCTGCCTGTGATGAGGAGATTGTGAATAAAGAATGAATATTAGTCGAATTTAAAATAAACATTTGCATTTGAATGCAAAAATAGTACAATCGAATGTTAGGTGTGCGTCAGAGAGCGTCATCAGTGGAGCACGAGATGTGGTGATAATGATGTAAGTAACGTTTTTGCGCGCCGCTGCTGTGTTATTCATTCAAAATATTAGAGAAATGTATTCGCTCAATGCGTAGATGATCTTGATTAGGTTAAAACCGAAACAAAGCCATTCACACAGAACGCATATTCAGCGCATTTTCTAGATGGACAAATATGACTGCTGCACTCGCGTCACACACAAGAGATGTATAGAAAGCCATGCAAAGTTAAAACAGTTTAAACTTTTAGAAAACACGTCACAAATTTGTGGAGGTTTATTCCTTTTCACTGCATCTC